TAATCCTGATCAATGTCTTATGATGTGTTCTAACACACTTCATGACTTGATGAAGCTTCTCAGCAAAGAACATGTCGCAGAAGTTGTTAAGTAACTCTCGATATCACCTTTCATCTCCAGTTCCAGAACTTTCTTCAGGTCATGCTGACTGTACTTGGTGTACTTCTGAAACTCTGCAAAGAGGAGGACAGTTTCTGGTGTAAGAACGGTATTAAACAGCCCTGCTCAGGTAGCTCAGATGGCTGGAGCATTGTCCAATGCACCAAAAGGCTGCACATTCCATTCCTGGTCAGGGCACGTATCTGGGTTGTGGGTTCAACCCTCAAGTCGGGTCATCACACAGGAGGCAGCTGATGTTTCTTTTCTCACATCGATACCTCTCTTCTTCTCTCCTCCTACTCCTCCTTCTCTAAAAATCAATTAAAACATATCCTCCTTGGACAAGGATTTTTTTAAAAAGGCATTAAACAAAACACATTTACATCTGTTCCGTTCCCCTTTTCTCTTGCTTCATATAAAGCCCCGGCCTCTGAATCAGCCAAGACCTCGTCTATGCCAAGACCCTCAGTTTGGTCACCCTTAACAAGAGAAAGCAGTCTTCTGATAATCTCCAGATGTGCCTGAGGTGATGTCTTTAGTCAGATCTCTCTTCAATTCTTCTCTATAGACTGTTAACATCTGTCAGTTCTTGATAACCAGAATTTCAGAGTGTCTTCATTAGCTGCAAGACCCTTCATGGCAGCACGGAGTTTATCAGCATCCAACTGAGCTGAAGATTTTTAGAGCCAAAGCAACTTCCTTAAAGTGACCTATAAGGGCTTCCTTCAGAGCTTCATCCAGGGGATTTCCTTTTTCCTGGAGATATGCTGTTTGGATCCATGGTCCCTTTGCTGAGTGTTGTTTCTCTTAATTAGCAGGTCAATGATAATTACTTCATCCACTGGGTGTTTTTGTGTTTGTTTTTTTTTAAACAGAAAACTCAACATTCTTGCTAGTAGTAGAACCAGACCTAGAAACCAAGTCTCCTGCCTGCTACTATAATCAGCAGTACCCCTTCTGTAATTATAGTAAAGACTGCTGTAAAACATTTGGCTAGATTCCAAGACAGCCGTCCCAGACTGAATTAAGACTCTATATAGTAAATAGTATAATAGTGAAGGTTTAATGCATGGAAACATACATCTTTTTAAAAGTGAAAAAATCAGCTGATTTTAAGTTAAATCAGCATAGTGTGTGTACAGTGGGAAAACAAGCAGAACACTTCTAAAAAGGAGTCAAAATGAAATACTGAGGTTTGTACATTTTATAATACATTTTATAATAACACTAATAGAAGTGCTAGTGACCAACAGAAGTGATGATCAATACAGTGGGGGAAAAAAAGAGATAAAGAGAGGACAAAAGAAACTGCATGATGTTCCTAATTTCAGGAAATAAAATGAGGTACTTCTATTTTTTTCTTACCCCCAAGAAGTAACTGTGAAATTTTAGGACATTTGGCTACAGTAACAAAGGAAGAGGAGGATTTTAGCTAGCCATCAAACAAAATCCCTGCCCAAATGGTTCACTCTGGAAAACAGCTTATCAGAAATCCAAAGTCCTATTTCTAGATCAGCTATTGGCAGTATCCAATTTAAATTAACCAATTATTTTACTCTTTAAATTCTCACACCTGTAAATCAAGTAACACTCTTCCCAAACTATCTTTTATGACTTTGGAATGAGCAAACGACGGCTGCAAAGATAATGATCAATATTTTAATCCCCACTATCCATTACAAAAACAAATATTCCAAATCATCTTCTATGTACAGCTGATGGTCTTTACAATCCAGATGAATAAAGCACTGAGAAATGCTTAACTAATAATGATTATGATTCCATTACAAAATTGAGGCATCTTGGAAACAACTTCCATAGGCACTGGGCTGAAGAGAGGAGTCAGGGAGAATGAGGTTGGATTTGGACAGGAGACCAAATAAAAAAGAGCAGTCATTAAGTCTAGCGAGGCAGAGCAGAGGCATGTAGGTTGCTTTGTGCTTTGGATTCCCAAAGCACATCATTCATCTGTTACTGCATTTAATACACTGTACAGTGTGCAGTTTGTCATGCCCACTCAGAATGTAAATACCTCAAGGACAGAAACCTTGTTCAATTCATTTTTCTATGCCTAATCCGTAGCACAGGGTCTGGCACAAAGAAGATAATAAATGTTTTTTAAACGGGCAAGGTAAGGGCAGGATTTCCTACTTAAAGTACTGTATTTAAAACCTAGGCTATTTGTGCAGGTCATTTACTCACTCATTCTCAACTTCTAAACCTCCATTCTAGTCTCTGCTCTCTGGTGCGCTGGCTGAGACTGAGCAACTATATTTAACTACTCTTCTGCCAGCAGGTTCCTTGTTAGGCTTTGCCAATGGAAGTAGTACATGTGTGTTTGAAAGGGGGAAGGGTGTGAGTTGTGACTTGTGAATTGATGTCACAATTTCTAGCATTAGCAATTGGCTCCAGCCTCCAGCTTCTTTCCAGACTCCCAAAACCGGCCACATCAGCAGCTGAACAACACTGCCCTACTCAAAAGTTCGGAACCAGGCCCATGGAACCTCTTCTCTGAGCTCTCAGGCTGACTACTGAATTGTTCCCTCTCTGTTCTTACACCCACCTAACCAACACCCTTTATTTAATCCCCACTGTTGAAATTCCTACTGACGTTTCTGTTTCCTTTACTGGGCACCAATACATTATTAAACACAGTGATTCTAACTGCTCTCCCCACCCCCCTGCGATATCGTCTTGCTACTTCATTGAAGGGTAAAGGGGGTTTTGGAGTTATTCCTACTGATAAAACCTACTTTATAGAGGATAAGTCAAAACCTTTTAATTTTGTGCCCAATAAGTTGCAGCACAAAAATCATTTAACTTTTGTGATTTAAATTATCCAACTTGAAAAGATAAAATAGAGAGGATATGAGAAATGTTTAAGCAGTGCAGACTATCCCCAAGCAGGCACACGCACCTCCTTTTACTATAAAGCACACATCCTGGAGGAAATGTGAGATGGCAGAGCTGATCTGCTGTTCCTCAGTGGTCTCAGTTCCCACGAGACTCTCCTAGTGGGGGCATTACGCTATTCTCAATGTGATTTTTATAGTTAAAGACTTTTTTTTTTTGCTGTTCAATATGGCCCCTAAATGCAAGCCAACTACTTCGCCTTGCGTTCAACAAAGAAACAGCAATCTGTTCCAACACTAAAGCTGAGCTGAACTTACTGATACGTTGTTCTCCCTTCTTAAGGGATTTTCAAGTGTAATTTTTTACTACATGTGATTTTCATTTTACATACTGACTTTAGAATTTAACTTCTTCATAACATACAACTCCACTCTATAGCAGAAACAAAAAGAAATCTCTCTTGTAGGAAAGCCCACAATCAACACATCTCTTGAAAACAAATAACCAAAATCTTTTGATATTTTTCATAGGGTCTATTACTTCACTTTAAGAAGATGACTTCATTATACAATTTATTCTGAGATTAATTTCAAAAATAATTTATCATTGTACTTAATATACTGACTTTTAAAAATTATGACGACATGGAGATACGTAGAAGCAGCAAACATGTTGTTAACCCTTTCTCCACAAGAAATGGAAGAAGGCAAATTCAAGCAAAAGGACTCTAAGAACTTTTAGTAATGTATGTAGGTGATAAGCACCCAACAAGAGATACCGTTTGGCCAAGCCATCTACCTAACATCCGTAAGACCAGAGAAGTAAAAGAAATCTCAAACTGGCAAGTCTACGGCCCGTTCCACGGAGTTCCTCCACACGGCCTAACACTGGGTAACAGCTCACCTACCTCCCGCCAGTGCACATGCTTCCGCCAGCTTCTGTTTCAGTGCCAAGAGCTGCACTGCCAGCCAGCATGTCCCCGAAAAATCAACCAAACTGTGCTCTCACAACAAGAGACACCAGAGGCCCCATTTGACGTATTAGGTAGAAAAGGTGAAAGGACTACGGGTGGGGGATAGACAGGATATATGGACCTTCAGGAAACGGACAGGGTAAATGTTACTATACCTTTATACTCCAAATTATATCGGAATCTAAATCCAATAAGTTAGTACGATAAGACTTCAGAGAAATGGGGGGGAACCCAAGAAATAAAATAACTGGTGTCTTGTGACAATGTATGTCTCCCACAGCTTATGTAAAAAGAAACAATACTAATTAAAAATCAGGCACAGATCTATGTGTGTAGAATATACATTATCTCACAGTATTTTTGCTTTCTTAAAAACTGCAAACTGTGATGCACTGTTTAGTTTCTCCAGATTTAATAAGTGAACCACTAAAAAATTATGAGGTGCTTTAAGTCATACTAGAAATGCTGTCATAATTTTAATAAAGTGCTTTTTAATATTAACTCACTTCTCTTGGCTGGAAGGAATTACGCCTTTTTTGCTAATGTATAGAAATGAAACTGTCACTGAAACATCTGGCTATATATTATCCATCAGACATATATCACCTTCTACTCCAACGACTGCATAATATAAACATAAATCATGAATAAATCAGATTAAAGAGAGAGACTTGACATCCAAAGATGTTCAATGACCTGTTCTACATTCCTGTTCACACAAACCTGGAAGCTAGTTGTCTGAGCACTCCTCACAGGCGGAGGAAAATTCAAATTTCCCAATGTCTGCATTATGTGAGTGGTTTTAATTTGAAAATTTTCTGTGCAGCACATTTAAGAATCATTACCATATTTTCCAGATACTCAAAGGGACTAGCCTACTGAGGCGGTTTTCCTTCATAAACTCTTCATTTCACTCCCTCCACCTATTAAAATTACCTCAAATGTGGACTCCACAAGGGTACCTGAAGGAAATAACTCAAACCCCTACAAGAAGGGAGAGGCCATGTTTGCTGTGCTCTCCCTGGAAAATGGAGTCTTATATAACTACCCATTATTTTACTACAAATTACGTTCAATGCACAATCGAGATTCTAAGAAATACCTGTTGATTGTGACAAGTATAGATTTCGGGGGTGGGGGGGAGGAATAACCAAGAATCATGTTGCTGCCATTTAAATTCTTTATAAATCAAAGGATCAAATATTCATTTTAAGGACCACGATCTGACACCGATGTAAGTTATTAAATATTCAACAACTATACCGTAACGTAAGTGGGGAAAGCAGATGAACTACCAATTACACTAAGTATTTCAGCTCGTCATTTTGGACCTACCCAAAGTAGATTATATAATGCGAATCACTCCTACATTAGTTTTCAACATGATTCTCAGTCTAAAACACTGAAACCATGTCCCGATTTTAATTTTTAAAATAAAACACATTACTAAAATAACTGAACGCAAACTTGCTCTTTTTACAGCAAATTTCTTTCTCCACCCCAAGGCAACCTGACATTTTCAAACCATTTTCCTACGTAAAGGCGCACACATTCCCGAAAACTTCTGACAGTCGGCAGTCGAGACCCAAAAAGGCTTCAAAGAGACAAGCCACTATGATTACGGCCTTAGCGGTCAAATAATGGGAAGGACCCTTAAAGTTGGAGACCAATTTTTCACCAACAGTACCTCCGGGAGTAGGGAAGCGACTTCTGCAGGAGGGAAATGATCCTGACAAGCAGTTCGAGAGCTCCCCGGCGACACCTGGTACCGAAGGTCTCCACGTAAACGACAGGATTCAAATCGCGAAGCTTCCAGCAGAAACAAACCCAGACACCCCCTCCCCCCACGACTCCTCCGGGGCAACCTCGCGGTTTAGAAAGCAACAGATCCTCCCGCGCGGGCAGGCAGGCGGCACTCCAGGAATGTTTTCACCAAGAGGGGTCTCCCCGCAGCCTGCAGGGAACCCCCGACGCCGAGGAGCGCCACCACGCGAACCCCGACTCCAGCACCCCAGGCGGAAGGGGTTATTTGCACAAAGCGCCCCCCCCCCACCCCCAAGGTTTAGACACACTCCCGGCAGCGAGGGGGAAGCCCGGAGGAAAAAAACCCGCATTCCACGCCTTCCGCCTCCGGAAAGGGGCCGCGGAGAGGCTGGGGCCCCGGCTGAGAGCAGGGGTCCGCGCAGCAGCCCCCGGCCTCCGCGCTGTAGAGCCATCAGCGAGGGCTTCGCGGCGGAGGAAGGGATCCCTGAGCTTCGTCCACCGGGTCCTCCGCCAGCGGGACTCACCATCCCGGCCAAGACCCTCAAAGAGACGCGAACAATGAGAAGCCACCTTCCCCGCCCCGAGAGCGGCTGGGGGCGGCGACGCCATGTCCCCTCACACCCCCGCGGACACACACCCCCGGGCCGCCGTCGGCCCTTGGGACCAGCCGCCCGCACGGCCCCGCCGCCGCTCCCGTGCCCTTAGCCTCCGCCCCGCGACTCACCGACTCCTGCCCCAGCCTGGGACTTCAGTGACCGCGGCCGGAGCGAGACTCTAGTACCAGCCGCCGCGGCCGCCGGCGCCGCCGCACAATATGGCGAGCCTCGGCTTCCGCAATGGAGCTCGGGAAATACAACAGGGGCCGCTCAATATTCATGAGAGACCGAGAGGAAGCCGGCTGGCCAGCGGGGAGGGCGGGAAGGAGCAAGCGAGCGAGCGAGGCAGGGAGGCGCAGTACGAGGACAGGAATGGGGACAGTACGTGCTCGGCGCGGGAGCGCCGCCGCGTGCTGGCCTGGAGGCCCCAGCCACCGCCCCTTCCCGGCCGCCGGCCCCGCCCCCCGCGCCCTCCGCTGGGCCCACGTAGCCCCCGGCAACGCCCGGTGACGGTGGCGCCACCTCGGTCTAGTCCTGCCGCCCCGGGGAGCTCTGTGTCGGGGCCTGGGCCGACGCCCTCTGTTTCCCCGACTGCTGCGGGGGCTTGCGCTCAGAGCTCAGCTCTGCTGTGACTGCCTCCAGCTCTTACACCCATCCCGCCCGGGAGAAATCCTCCTTGGGTATTTACCTCCAGAACTTCACCTGAACTTCGGAACCCTGCCACCCCTTTCAACAAAGACACACTTTCCACCATGCACACTGAACCTACAAGGTCCAATTATTTCAGGGAAAATGACCTTCGGTTCTCAAATTATATTGCTGGGCATCTGTAAGCCTTCTGTTTGTTCTCATCAGCTCTTTCTACTCACCTGGCTGCTCTTCTGTTTCTACCTGTTTGGTCCCTTCCAGTATTAACCTTCTAAACTTTAGAATATAAGCATAGATTAAATACATGTAATCATTATCTAAAACGTAACCAATTAATCTACAAAAGATTATATAAATGCATAAAAGTTAAGCTATAAACCAAAAATAACAAAGAGCTGGAAGAGTTCCCTGACCTCAAGATGTACTATTGATGAGGTGTCAACTTCTCTTGAAAAAATAACCAGCAATACAGGGGTTCTCATGGCATAAAGGAGCGGACTGCACTGGGAATTTACTGGGCAAGCTAGGTTTAGAGCCTCCAGTGTATCTCTAACTATGTGACTTACATAAATTAGTGCACAACTCCTCTGGATTTATTTTTCTTATTTGCAAAGTGAAAGGATTGTGTTGAATGATTCTTAGGTCTTTTTCCAGCTTTTGAACTCTCTAAAGCTCTCTACAAGCAATGCCAAATGAGCAGTATGAATTTACTTAGGATTTTGGAAAAGAAAAGGATCAATTCCAGCTGATGTGCTCAGAGATGATTTCCTGAAGGGTAGGATTTAAGTATTTAAAATATTAAAGACAATGCATTAGGTACCCCACCTATCAATCCATCAAAGTAAACAAGAGCAAAGCATTAGTATTTTTCAGTGATTTTAAAACTTTCATCTACTACCTATGGCTTTAAATTAGAAATTATAATTCTCAGATTCTACAAGCCCTTCTTCCAATGGGGGAAAAAATAAAAATAATCAGTAATGCTTTTAAGTCTTCCTTCTGGTAAGGATGTACTTTCTAGAGACAATGCAATTGCAGAAGCATCTTCTGTTTTTATTTATGGTGACTACATGTGTAGTTCAGTGAAGGATGTTCATAATTCAGAACCTTTTGCTCTAGTTAAAATGTTTATGAAAATAATAGCAGATTAAGAAAATTGATGTTGAGAAAAGCGATCATAGAAAGCACAGGATCTTTATGGATGAAAGTTAAATATAGTACTTAGAAAATTTACAGGAGAATTAGTGGGAAAATGGAAAGCTTACAGGATACTTTGATTAAATGTAATTAAAAAGCTAGACCTCAGGCTACCATCCTTAATATGGAAGATACTACTAACAAATTAATGGAACCTGTATTATCTATTTTTAACTCTTACTCAAAACCTTGGCACTCTATGACAGTATTGTGGGCCTTCCTGACTATATTAATTAGGAAAGGTTATGTTATGGTGTAGTGATAAACATCTCCAGAATCTCCATGCCTTAACACAACAGAAGTTTATTACTTACTCATGCTTCATGCTTCATGTGGATCAGACTCATTCTGGACTAGCAGATGGTCCACCATCTTGAGACTTTATCACCCAGAAGGCGACAACTGAGTGCCTGTGGCAGAGGAAAAAAGTGACTAAAGAATTCCCATGGGCTTTTCACAGCCTTAGTCTGGAAATAAATCACTGCTCACATTTCATTGGCCGAAACTGGTTACACATAGTCTTCCCCATCTGCAAGAATACTGAGTCCTTGAACTTAATCCTTAAGCCAAGTTTAGGAGAAGTGGGGATATGGTGAACAATATTCATGTCAAACGCCCAGACCCTCCCCATTCAGCTCCTAGGTATTATGAAAAAACTCTAAGAAGTCTTATTTCTTAACACTGGATCTCTTGAGTTGCTTCCAGAAAGTTATGCTTTCAAAAATAAACTCTCTGTACTTGTTAAGACTTGACTATTGTGTAAATAGAATGGACTTCCCATTTTCTTTCCTTCTGTTTTAATTGTACAGTAATCAAAGGCAAGTCCATAGCAGTCTATCAATAGTGATTTGACATCTCCAGCCTATTTTCATTTGGCTAATTTTTTGACTTGATGTAAGGGATATCACCCTGAAAAACATTTTCTAACACTCTGCCCCTCTACCTGTTGAATGTACTAATTAGAAGAGATCATATTTTAAGTAGGAAAACATTACATTAACACTACATAAGTATTATATTATAGGTGGATGGCTAGATGCACTCGAGTTAAAATGGTTTTTTCCTCCAAACTTCAGAAGTAGGGCCCTGTTAATCACATGGTGAATTAGGTAGGCATTTCTGATCACAAAAATCACCTCTTTACTGGCTATCTGCTATGTGTAATGCTACAAAATTAGAGAAATTAGTTCAGCTCAATCAACTTTTATTGTGCATTTGGTATGTGCCTACATTTTACCAAGTGCTTGGAATAAAGATATTAGTGTAACTTACATAATTAAGACATAAGTTCCTTGAGAACAGAATCTGTCCATCAGTGTATAGTCCTAGATACTATCACAGATGCTCAAGGAATAGATGTGAAGAGAATGAAAGACTGGGAATCTTTGATCCCAGTGTGATAGAATGAGCTTGTTTAGCTTCACTGTTATCACCTAAGAGTGGAAATTTCAACCGAAATTGCATTTAGTCTCTCCAGAGGCTTTCTGTATTTAGGCAGTTTCCTTAAGTGGAAATTCACACCTGCCTGTTCTATATCTACCACATGGATTTCTATTCACTTGTGCCCCAAATATCTAATTGTTATCTGCTCATGTGAAATGAAGACTGCAAGCCACCAACAGAAAAGCTATGTATGTATCCCAGTTTAAAGAGCACTTTTGTATCCATCTTTTTCACTGAATCTTCACAACAATCCTTCAAGATATTATTCTTACTTTATAGACAAGGGAAATGTGACTTCTGTCACATTGAGCTCAGCATGGCAGAGCTGAGGCTCAAACCTAGGTCATCTGACTCCAAGTTCAAGATACCTTCCATTAAACCATATGTGTCTCTCAGCTCAGTGCTGCATGCACAATTCCAGCATTTTTTTCCTAACTTATAAAGAGTATGTGAGTCAAACATCCCCAGAGCTTCCTCTCAGCACTAGGTATCATTCCAGTCCTCCGTGTGGTTTATTTTCAAGAAGCTAGAGATGTTGCTAACTATAACAGTATACAAACCTGATCTATTGACAGAAAACCAGCAGGTTTTGTTTTTGTTTTTTACCAAGCTTGCTTTAAGAAAACAAGACAAAATAAAAACCAAAAGGTAGGTTAAAAGACTAAAGCTTGGGATTTAATCACTCTATAGAAAATATATACTATACACAGTGCGCACGCACACACACATACATATACATATATATACTACTGTCAACATATATCTTCTACCATAATCTTTATTTAGCATCTTATAGATGTATTATGTTTTCTTTGAAAAAGGTTGAGTTAAGTAGGGATGTAGTAGAAAGGCTAAAGAGACATAATTCAAGGTGGCTTCAGGAAGCAAGCAACTCAAGATTTACAACCTCTTCAGCTTAAAAAAAAAAGTACAGATCTAGGAACAAGCTTTAGTGAAGTTTTATGTGTATTTCAGCATAGTATATTTCTTTTTGTGACACTTCCATTGGTGTTCTAGTTCATTGTTCCTTTTTTATATTCCCAAGACAGCCAAAATAATGGTGCTCCTCTTAGCTATCCAACTTAAAGAAGTAAAACAGATTAAATAAGTTGGGCTAGTTAGACTTTTGAGGAAAACTAAACAATATTGGTATTTCCCTCCTATGGTGACTTAGAATGGTATTTTTATATGTCCCAGATGTGGCCACATTCTGCCTAACATCTGCTAGTACATTTTATTAAAATAATGAACTAACATGTATTTGAAAATTAAAGAACAGATAAAAATTTTTCATTCTGGTGCAGCACAAATAGTCAACTGTTTCTTTGCAGTTAATAATGGAAACATAAATGGGAGATATCATTGTGATATCAACTTTCAAATATAAAATAGTGGGCTTTAGTTTTCTAATATGAAGAAAGTTTATTCCATTCAAACAAAGTTTGATTTGTGCCTTGGCACTGATCAAGGAACACCAAGAATCATCCTGGAAACTAACAAGGAATAGAAAATCAAGATTGAAATTCAGACCAAAATGGAAACCTCTCTGAAAAAGAAGATTGGAAGATCCCAGAGGGAAAGTACAGATGAAGAACGCAAAATATTTAAATCAAGTTCCAGCTTGCTCAAACTGCTTTTGAGGACATTTTAATTTTTCCTACTTAAAACCAACATGTGTGCTAGAATGGTTTTTGTGGGATGGGAGAGTGAAGGATAGAGACATCTCTTAACTAACACATTTCTTAGAAATGTTTTTAGTAAAGAATTTAAGAGAACTGCCAATTCCCACCCATACAAAGAAAGTTTTACTTTATTTTAAAC